TACTACAACAATGTTTTGGGCAATATAACATGCTGTTAATTAATTAAATAAATCATTATCAATTTGACCATACGTATGCTGTTGTATAGTTCGCAAGTTTTCATTATTTTCAACGCATTCTTGACATCTATTACACTTCCAATTACAACCCCATACCATAATTGTCCACTGCAGTGTCATAAAAATGTAAAGTAAACTTGTTATATATTTTAAAAATAATGAAATATGTAAGAACCATAATTTTTTATGAACACGTTTTTATTGGTACAGTGACACTTACCTGTAAACCTCTTCATCATATATCACTTTTAATTTGTTGAAATCAATCGTATCCAATGCTTCACAATCACATCACATTTTTTTTTTTATCTCTTTCTCAGTTTTTCCTTTAATAGTAGTGATATTTTCTATGTTGTCATCATCTTCAACAATTTCAACTGTATTCTCATATCCGACTTCACTCAATGTGTTTGTATGGCTGATCACATCTGATGTCACACTCTGATTTTTTTTTCCTCTTTTCTTCCCACTGTATTCAAATTCTCCATCTCTCTTTCTTTTCCGATCCCTTATCTTGATATTTAGAATCATTGATGTTTGCCATTTTTTTGGCATCTCCACCTGATCTTGAACTGCAATGGTTTTTGGTTGATATTTTTTGAGTTATGACATGCACATATAAGTCGTTAAATTGATCAATCAATTCAATATTCTCATTTTCTCGATTTTTGATTATTTTTTTTCAAGTTTGTATTTCTGCGTCAAACCTTTGTTCCCGCTTTTTCATATTTTCAACCAATTCATTCAACTCTTTATCACCGTGTCATTTTCTTTCATTTTCACTGAGTAGACATATTTTTATTTGTCTAACTCATCATCCCCAACATCAGACTATGAAAGCCCCAAATAATTTTTACTAGGGCATATGTTCCGTATAACAATTTTCAATACATCATTCTCTTTCATAAGCTCTTGAATCTATTGTATGTTTGTTTCTTCTTCTTCTCTTTCATCACTGTCATCTTGTAATGCAACATAAATATCTTTCTGAGTTCTATGTTTTCCAGAAACTTGTTCCCAACCATTTATCTCATCATCACAATCGTGTGTCGCTTCATTAATAGCAACCTTAATAAGAGATTTCAATGACACCTCCTTACCATCATCACCAATTGCATCCATAATATTATCGTCATCGTCAAAAAATGTGTCATGCTCTGCCTTTTCATTTCCCCTGTCCTCATATGCTTTTTCATCCACATGGACATGTGGTTTTTTAACTTTACCCCTTTTGGTCTTTCCCATAAATTTAGATTGGCCCCCTTCTTGTTTTTTTCGCTTATATTTGAGAAAAATTTTCTTCTTTGCTGTTGTCTTCAATTTATGTCTCAATACCTTTGAAACATTTAAAATATCGACAATTTGATGCGTTAGTTAACCCAAATGTAACATAGAAGTGTGGCATAACATTGTACCAATACATTATTATGCTACACCTCCAAGTGTAATATAGAAGTGTAGCATAAAATGGTATCAATGCAGTGTTATGTTGCAAGTGTATGATATGAGAACATTCAAAGATTTTAAAATTCAGATAAAAAAAGATTTTAAAATTCAGTAGCATGTACATATTAAACCAAATTGACTATAGTTGAGCAACTGATATATTTTGACTTCAACTTTCCAAGCCTATTATGTCTCATAGCTCTCTCAAAACTCGGTAAATTCTATTTCACAATCTTTGATATTCCGTTTGGCCTGTTAGTTTTGATAATTGTTGTGTGTTCACAAATTCAATATTGCACACACATACAAATTCATTATAAGCAAACAAATTACTTACTTTTATTAAATTAAAGGAAACAAAATTGGAAATGAAACGATGTATTAAAAAATTACCAGTAATAACATTATGCATCCAGTAACACCTGATGGGGTGATACTTTTTCTCTTAAGTGAATAAATAAGAGTTTCATGTATAGCACTTGACCAATCATAATTCTTCATTGCATCCAAATCCTCAACGTATAAAACATAGCCCTATCATAGAGATGTCTCAGTGTGTGTGAAAAAGAGTGTTACCATTAAAAATAGGTAGCAGCCTTGCGATGTCCTCAATGTTATTTTTGGTTGTTCCATTTGCTACTTCAACCAATTTGCTAGTTCAAACCTCATTCCAGGGATGACTGAGAGCAAGATTTTGTCAGACACAAGTTCTTGAAGATCATTACGTTTTGAGAATATCTCTTCCCCTTTTGAAATAATTGCTACCAAAACAAGCTTTGGAAATAATGTCCCCAGAGAGTTTTCTTATATCCTTGAAGATTTCAATGTCTGCAACTCCACCCACACTTTCAATCCTATGAGTCCAGGAATTTACTAGTGTAGTTGAAGATTCCACCATTAACTTGGTCATTCCCTACAAAGTGTTTACCGCTGGCATTATTAAACTTATATCATGCCTCAAATATCATCTCTATGATTGGACTGCACCAACAAACTACAACGAAAAACATTAGTCAAATTATTTTGCTGCTTTCAGGAAGAATGTCATGAATTGATGTATCATATACCCATAGTTTTTTTTTTTCGGTAAGTAAGATAATATCATTAAGAAAGGGAAAATGTACACATGTTAAACCCAAAAGGGATGGAAGATCTTCTTAAAACAAGAAAAAGAAGATCCCCCATCCCCGAAGCACATTCCAGAAGAAAAACAGAAAAAGACAGGTCCAGCAAACTGGACATCAAGACAAGAACATCAAATGAAACACCAAACAGCAGTACCAAGCAGAACAACAAACGGCATCAGCAGTACCACCATAAAGACATAGCAGCCAACGCAAGCACCAGCAAAACAAAACCCATAGTTGAAGGAGCCCCTAGAGTCCTAGATTGATTCGTTTATCTCGACGTATTTAAACCAGATGTTGTATTTAATACAATATTCTTTTGGATACTCGAGAATACATATAAAATGTACAATATACATATCCAATAATTAGTATAATATTTCTTCATATTTGGATAAATCTCAAATATGGGTATTCAGGGTGAGTATCTATAGATATAAAAAGTTGATATACAGAGATATGTATATATGTGAACTCAAACCTTTGCCCTTTTCTTTCGAATCCAGAGTCATACTCGTAAAAAAAATTCATATGCTTCTAAGAAACCGTTGATGAACGATTCCTTGAAAGGTTTAGGATTATTTGAGACAGTCACAGACACGAGGAAGGTAATAAAAAACGGCGCTGGCCTTTTCGGATCATTCTAAGTTGTTCAGAAGCCTTTAGATCCTTACCACTATCATTTGCTGGTTGGTTGCCCCAAATCCCCTGGTTTAGAAAAATGAAGGTAAGCTAAGGTGGTCTACAAGTGGGTGTTTTTTTAAGTATTATCTAATAACACATAAACTTTTAATAGTGATTAATTAGATCATATAAACTTTTAAGTAAACCAATGATTAACCACATTTATTTTGTAGCATGCCATTTTGATAGGATCTAAGTAGGTCTGTCAAAGTTCAACACGATGCGATTAACCGACACGAATTCATACGAATTAATCGAATTTGGGTGATACCTTAACGGGTTCGGGTAGTAAACGAGTTGATAAGTCAAATACGTATAATAAACGGGTCATATATGGGTGAATCCTGTCAACCCGTTTATCACCCGTTTAAATAAAATTAATATAATAATAAATTAATAATTATTTTAAATATATATATATATAGTGATAGCCACATAATTTTTTTTAAATTTAGTGACAACTACAAAAAATATAATAATAAATTAAAACTAAACAGATTAACGAGTCGTGGCGTGTTATCCATTTATTAAATGATTCGGGTTTGTGTTAAAAATTTTCACCCGTTTATTAAACGAGTCGTGTATGAGTTTATATGTTTTTCACCTGTCACCCGTTTAATCAGATACGTAACTATTTAACCCGTCACATTTGACACTCTTATATCTATACTTGTTCAAAATATGAAATTGCTTATTTTTCCAAAAGGTGTTATTATATAATTTACTAAAAATATAATTATGAAGTTGTAAAAAATAAAATATAAAAAATACTATATGTGAGATATGTTTTTTGGTTGTGTTCGTATCATATTTTTTTAGGTTTTATCATATCATACTCGTATCCTTAGCTTGCTACAGAGCTAGGAATCACAAACTAATAATTTGAGAAACTTATAGTTTGATACTTTAACTATTGACTCAATTTTATTTTGTCCCTTGCGAGCACTTTTCATATTGCTTTATTAACTATTTGAATTAAGTTCACATCAGGACAAACAGAAAAAAAAAAAACACATTTTGGGGGGGGGGGGGGGAGAGGGCAAAAAATGAAATATTTTTTGTCCAATTTGAAACAGGCTTTTAATAATTTAGGCAATCTAAAATCAATAAAATAGTTGAAGGAGTAATGTAAGAAAGTTCTCAGTTGATGCGGGGACATGGGAAAAAAGGTCATGGTCGACGGTCAAAAGGATAATTTGCCCTAATATTTTCCTAAACTTTCTTTTGGATGGGGCAATTGTTAAACGGCGGGTGATCAAAAACATGAGGTAAATTTTATTTTTATATCCCATGAACTGTGGACTCTATTTCACTTTACTTCTTAAACTATTGGATGTTCCAAGTTGCCACCTCAACTACCTAAATTATTTCACATTGTTCCAAATATAAACGACGGCTATCATTGTGGGTGAAAATTACCAACGTGTCAAGACAAAGTAAAAAAAGTAACACGATTTGGGGGCAAAGTGAAACGACTCTCCGTTAACTTGTAATGAACATTAATAATTGAACGGCCTAAAACTAATCACATAATTGAAACCGCAATATGAAAATTATTATGGTTAGAGGAACGATGTGATAAAAGGCCATAATTGAGGGGGTGAAAGTGTAGTTCAAATTTGGATACAGAAACTCCTGGTAAATAGGATTGCTGATAGTGGCAAATGCTATTAGAAGGGCTAGCTAATAGATTTTCATGTAAAAGTATAATGGTACCTTGACCTTGTCCATGAACAGTTGAGGAGCTATGATCTTTCTTTGATAGGCCCAGATTGCACCATTAGAATCGAGAATGCCTTCGCCTAAGAGAGTTCCCATTACATTTCGTTGATAGGATGGCTTTCCAAAGTCCGGAGATGTGCATGTGCTTATTTCCTTCACTACTTCAGGATCATTCATATACACAATTTGTAGGTTGCCCATGGAAAACATGAAAACCGGACCTGTAAACGTAGTTAAAATGCATATTTTAGAAACCAGACTTTCGATTCATCTTTTTCAATATAAGCATATTTTTTTTACCACTGTCAAAAGGGTTGTTTATCGAGTTGATCCCATTAATCGAGGACGCTAGAAATGGTAGACTTGCTACAACTCTAACATTTGACATGATTCACTAAGAGGGGCTATCCTCAAATTCTAGTGATTGATGGGTGGTTTGAAGTTAGCACGAGGAAAAATTTAAACCACATCATGCCCCTCGGAGTAGTGTCAGATAATTCCGTGATGATGAAAAAATTAGGGGTTTATTCGGAGACATCACAAATGACTCGACTCAGTCGTCTAAGTCATGTGAGACTCGTGATTTATACAAAACGTAGAATAGTATCAGAATACTTTGAACTATGCAATAACATTTAGGTATAACTGTACAAAGTAACAAATATAAGCATTTATGGATCAAGACACTATACCATATTCCTGCTGCCATGGCTTAAACCATGGGAAGATAACGGAGGAATCATGCGTTATTATTTGCTCTTGATTTTCCTTTGAAACCGTGGACTGTGTTTTCTTCATCATTTCTAGAAGATTGCCGACAAATAAAAATGGAGGAGGACCATTGATCCTTGCTTTCGCAGCTTTGCACGAAGCCTAGATGGCTTTATCACAAGAACCTCACAAAGGCGTACAAACAAGCTCACAAAGCCAAGCACTCCTATTGTGAACATGATCTTGAGTAGTAGCCATAATATCTCCATGGCCTTTCCCTCTGTGTGTGTGTAGCTTTCCTTTTGGACTGGCATCCTTTTGTTGACATTTTACAGTCATTTATACACCAAAAACCAGGTTAGCTGGAATGCCAGACAGTTAAGAGAGGTGTAGGGAGATTAAACAATCAAATAGTTCGAGTTCAACTTAGGTTTTGCCAAAAAAAAAAAAAACCTGGGTTTTGCTTGTTTTTACACTTCAGGGATTGATCAAATTATGAAATAAGCAGAATCCATTTACTCATGTTTGAAAGATGAAAAACTTCAATCTTTTTCCCAAGAAACTACTCATTTTGAGGAAATCAATAGTTTTTTTTTTTTTTTTAATTGTTAAAGTTTTTTACTCAGAATTTGACTTCGGTTTTAACTTAAGTTCAGCTCAAGTAATTCAAGTTTTTACAAAATCAAAATTGGACAAGATTAAACTTCAGAATTAAGTCCAATATAAGCTCAAACCCGACCAATCATAATCAAATCAAAATTAAAGTATCCTCGAACTCTATTATGTGAACTTGACTAACAGGATGGAGTGTAAGATCGAAAACCTAATGTTTTTTATTTGTGAATTGTGAGCAATGTATGGTTTATCGGGTAACTCTGCACGTTGAATGAAAAGATACGGGCAGTTTGTGGGATCCCAATTTCCCAATTTCGCTTTTTCCTCCTTATTTATGCAAATCAGTATATCGCCACTTACCTAACTTATCACCCATCACAGGAATTTAATTTTCTCTCTCTATCTCTCTCTCTCTCTCTCTCTCTCTCTTATGGTTGATAGACTATTCAAAGACAAGCGCAGGTGTGGCATACCCACAGCATACTCTTCCTTCCAGTTTGGTTTGGTTGATGAGAAAAAGCGTTATCTTGGTCTTAATACGCTTCAATCTAGGAAAGAGTCTCTATTACAAAATATATGACATTTTGATCAACGATTCAAATGTGGGTTTTGACTATTTTCATTGTCGTAATTTTTGGTCCTGTTTGAATCTTGATGTGTTTATTGAAGCTCGAAATATGTTCTAAAATGGTGTACATGCAATGCATGTATGTAGCAACCATTGTATATCAAAACATCAACGATTCAGTTCTAGATTTAATTATTTTCATTGTCGTAATTTTTGGCTCTGTTTAAATTTGGATGTAATTATGGAAGCCTGAAGTATGCTCTAAAAAAGTGTATGTCACGTGTGACAACAATTATATATCAAAAGCAAATACATAGGGAAGGAAAAAAAATTAATAGCAAATAAATAAATAAATTTCAAAATTTAATTTCAAAATTTTAGTGGTTAATAATAAGTCGCCATTAAAAGTGTTTCACTTGTGCATAAAAATTACAGTTGTACTTACCGGAAAAAAATTACAGTTGTATTTAATTGTTGCCGCTAAAAGTTTTGTTTCGTTACACTTTTAGTGACAACATGTTACGATTTAGTGACAAAAAATTTTAAATTAGCTAAAGCCATTGTGGTAGCTATATAGTTCATAGTGACAATTTTTTGAACTGTCATGATTTAATGATTTATTCACAACTCATATTGCCGTAGTTTAGTGGCAATAAAAAAGTTATTGCTAAAACGTAAGGCAACAAGTTTTTAACATCTAGCTGCAATAAATATTGTGGCTAAAAGTCTAATTTCTAATTGTGACTATATGTGTAAATCAGGTAGAGAAAAAAGTAAAAATATCTTAAGATAGTATGGATAGACTCACAACTAATACAAATTTTAGGTACGTATAATTTCTAAACTTTTATATTTGACGTGGTTGGGCTCCCTAAGTCTTGCTCCAATTAATTGCAATTTCTCCATTGGACTTGCAGTGTAAAGGCAAGATAACAGGGTAGAAGTTCAACTCCCCCAAAGCACACTACAAGAAAACTGGGAAATGGAGCCGTTTTTCAAATGCCAGCAAAGATGACAAAAATGCCGGCAAACATATTTTTCAGCGGTCCTCTGGCATTTTGTTCAAATTTCTTCTATGCTGGCATCGGGAAAACTCCCCGCGTTTAGGCAAAAACCGATAAATATCCGGCAACATTTTTCTCAGCAAAACCTAAAAGCCTTTGTATATCAGTCGGATTCCAATGGCCGGAGCAATTTACAGGCATTAATGTTTACATAACGCCAGGAATTTGTTTTTATTTTTTTATTTTACAAATTTTTGTATTTATTTTGTTCCTTCTTATAAAGAGTGGACCCACACTGCTCACCTACTTGAAGATTGCACCACCAACTCAATTGAAACAAATCCTAAATACAATGTTCCACCACAGGAGGGTGAATATGGATAGAATCCTACTTTTTGGATGCCCGATATTGTAGTTAGGACACACAAAATCGTGAAATTTGACGAAATGGGGAACTTCGGCTTGTGGCAGAGAAAAGTTAAGGATTTGTTGGTGCAGCAAAAAATTGTAAAGACTTTACAAAGGAAAGACAAGAACCTAGAAAAGATGTTGACAAATGATTGGAAAGCTCTCTAGATGAGATGATTAGTACAATCTTCACTCTATCTAACAAATGAAATATTATATCATGTCATAGATGAAATATCTCCTTTAGAAATGTGAAAAAAAAATACTTGATTCTTGTCAAAATATTTATCTAACAAGCTCTAGCATAATTATAGGATATATAGGCTTAAGATGGTGGATGGTTTGCAACTGGCTTGACACTTAAATCTATTCAATCAAACTATCAACGTTTTGTTGAGGATTGGTATAAAGGTCAAGGAGGAAGATTAGACATTTATACTTTTGACCTATTTTGCTGCTTCATATGAAAATATGGTTATGAACTTATTGTATGGGAAGAAGGCTCTAACTATGGAGGAGGTTATGGATGTGACGCCCCTAAAATCGGGGGTCTTTTGTCAACCAGTTGATTATCCATCAATTTGCGGAAGTACTTGTAAATGTCGTACAACTCGACTCCAAGTTAATAACATCCCCTTCATTGGGATCATAAACCACACAACATTTAAGCAAAGTCTCCCTTGTACCGGACACTCCCAAATACATACCCTGTGTACATTTAATCATTTGACTCATCTAAGGTCTAATATACATCGATTTGTTCTTATTATTTCTCCATAGACCTCCCTTAAGAAAAAGGAGTCGATGCTCGGAGGCTTAGTAAAACATTTTAAGATTTTGAATTTTGAAGAAAACCTACCGGTAGAATACCTCTGAGTCCTACTGGTAGATGTGCTCACTGGACTTCATTTTTCAGAAACTTGAGGAAACCTACCGATAGAAGAAGTTCTTGCTCTACTGGTAGAAAAAACTTTCTAGATTCTTCTACTGGTAGGAAACTCGACGTTCTACCGATAGGAGAACCTATTGGAAATGTTCTACCCGCAAGTAATTGAAGTTTTACAGGTAGAACTGCCTACTGGGCACCGGTGGTGAGACACTAGAATTCATGTACCCAACAAAGACACATGAGTTGTTTTATAAAATTAGTCATTGGATGTGTAGCATCATTGACGGGGGCTTGGAATGCCCAGATTCATACGCATGTCATTGCATATGTTGATGGAGCCAGTAAAGGCTCGAATTGAGTTACATGTGTGAGTATCATCTCATAACATAGCATGTCATAAAAGATCCATTATGAATTACATATTCTTGATTGGATTAATTGTTGTTTGTGAAATTGCATGTGAACATTTCATATGTATCTAGGTTAGGGAGTAGCATCTTTAGGAGATACCCTATTGAGTGTGGCTCACCCTTTATGGGGACAATATTTCAGGTGCAGGATATGCGCTGGTGAACGACTCTCATTCAGGGCCTCAGTGATGAAGAAATTTTGAAATGTGGCTTTTAAATCATACTTTTGTAAAACTATTATGCAATTTAGTTTTGGAACATGTAATTATATGTAAATGATTGTAATCGAACTCGTATGAACTATGTTTAATGTACATTTATATGTTATGTGAGTTTGGGTTGATGATGTACAATGTTGGAATGAATTGGAATTCAAAAAGGATCAAAGCGGGAAAAAATTGGGAAGGCCTACCGGTAAAACTTCGAGTTTTTCTACCGATAGAACATTTTCAGTAGGCAATTATATCAGTAGAACGTCGAGTTTTGCTAATAGAACATTTCCAATATGTTTTTTTACTGGTAAAACGTCAAGTTTCCTACCAGTAGGTTTCCCTGAGTTTTGAAGAATCTTAAGTGTCAATGAACCCTCCTACCGGTAGGACTCAAGGATCTTCTACCAGTAGGTTGTCTTCAAATTTCAAAATGCTTTAGCTAAACCTCCAGGCATTGATTCCTTTTGCTCAAAAGGGATATATAGGGTAATAATAAGTATAAATTGATGTTTATTGGACCTTGCATGAGTTAAATGATTAAATGTACACAGTTATGCATTTGGAAGTGTCC